AACTGCAGGAGTTCAATTCCCATGAAGGATAAAGGGCATATGCACTATTGTTGATTTTATTCACCGCACACCTGGCATGTTTGTGGACCTCCAAGTCATCCGCGTCCCTCCAAGAAGACCCCCGATTACAGCTTCTGTATGACTTGAGGGGTATGAGCTGAGGGCAGCCAAGTTGCCTTGCACAGAAGTTGGGATGGTAGACTTCCGCCCCTAAATGATAATTTGGAGGTTTTCCTCCTCCATGAGGCAGATCTCTGGGTAAGGTCACACTCAGGAACTTCTTCCTAAAATCAGTTCTGACAGATTCGTCTTCTGGCTCCTTCTCAAACAGACGATGTCCAGGTTGAAACCACGGATAGGTCCTCCTAATCACCACTTGCCACTGCGCTGCAGACCTTTTGGTACAATGCCTGAAGATCATCAGGTACTCATCGATTGATCGCTTGGGGACTTCTGCCGACAACAATGGTTGAGCCAGAACCTGGTCCTCAGGCAGAACTATATCTGGAAACCTTAACTCAGGAAAATAGACCTGCAGCCAGATCTGAATCATCCAAAAGGCACCAGGAGCAGACAGATTTAGCGGATACTCCAGGGTGGCGGTATGCAGGTTCTTGAATAGATGGGCCAGAACTGTAGGCCCGAGTCCAACATTAGTATGATTATGCAGAGCTTCTGCCAGATGCCAATACTCAAGCAGAACTGCAGAACAGCGATTGGGCAGAACAAACCTGTTCAGCCAATACAGGAGGAACAACATATGCTGCTGATCTTTGTCCTTCTCAGCACTAAATTTTCTGAGATAATTGGAGAAGGAGCAATTCTGGTTGATCAGGGCTGGGGAAATAGTGAATGGCTTGGCTAGCTTCTGCTGGTCCTTCTTCCTGTGATAATCACCAACAGCATCAACAGGTCTTCCATGAGGCCTAAAGCCAAAAATCTGAGCCATATCCAGCAGCGTCGGAGCCATGGGGCCTATACGAAAATCGAAGGTGTTACTGGCAGAATTCCAGAAATACAAAGCAGCAGCAAGCAGGTTCTCATCCCTATTGATAGATTGCTTGGATAGGAGTATGGCGTCATAAATTCCAGCCCGCTTCCAGTGAGCCCCAAATCGAGGAAGAAGTCTGTCAATCCAATCAGCCCACTTGACTGGGCTATTTCTCACTTCACTGGATAGGAACGAACGACTCAAATTCTTGCTAACCCAAGAATGAGAAGCCAGAGCA